GGGAATGAAGGCACCTTTGTACATATGTGGTGAACTTGCCTGAAAATAGTGTGATTCTGGGTTCTTATCCAAAATCTTCTCAGGGGCGTGATGAAATGACAGATTGACATGGAGATCCATGGAGGAATTTACGTCCAAAGAACAAAAACTATATAACAATATCACATTAGCAGTGAGACATGCAGTCGTGGCTCAAAAACACTATACCTACAGGTAATTCTTACAATAAAAGACACGTATCTAATGGAAAAACTAAAGGCCTGGGTTCAAAACTTGGAATCAACATTTACTAAGGTCTGGCAACCATGGGAGGAATACTTGGAGCACTAACCGAATAGAGACACTGTGAAGGACGAGACCACTGATGCAGAGAGCAGACCCATCTCTCCCCCTCTCTCAGTCCCCCCCACCCTCTATCCTTCCCCCTAATTATCTATCCATCTTGCTGCTCTCCTCTTTCCTCCCCTCCCCCCCCCACCTCTTCTACTTTTCTCTCTTTCACTTCTATTAAAATAATTAAAAATGAAGCCAGGAGATGGTAATCCTCAAAAGCTTAACATTATAGCGAGTGGTAACGCAAACTGGTCCTAAGGTTTGATACAACCTAGACAAAGCTCACAAAAGATGCAGATGCACAAAGAAAGGCATTGATCATAGAAACCTCTGATTGCACAAAATACATACAATATCTCCCCTTATAATAAATATCTTATCAGTTGCAATCTACACAAATGTTATAGCTACTACTATGTTAATGAGGAAAAAATAGCTACTGCAAAATATGTACCAATTACTATGTACCACTACGAACAATCTATGCATTGTTCCTCTATTAAGTTTTTGTACTATTCCAACAATGTGTACCACAAGTCTACCTGAGCTCATGAATAATAAAGACTTAAAAAAAATAAAAAAAAAGATTGATGACTTTAGTTCAATCAGATGCTTCTCTTAAAGAAGAATTACATAAACACTGTTCATGTGAGGCTGCAATCCCCCAGCCAAGTGCTTCTCATAGAGAAGCAGAGGACGTACACAGTATCCAGCATCAGCGTACCATGTATGCCGACAGGAGATGTCAAATAGATTCAATAATTGAATTTATTTCCATTGAGACCACCTAGTGGCTATCTGTCTGACATTCAGTAGTAGAAATGGAAACTGCAAAATGTAAACATTGCTGTTTCTCACAAACAACACTTTCTACAATAGCAAGACCGAAGGAGCAGTATCCATGACACTAAAACACTTCATTAGATGATGTAATTGTATTGCTTTTACTGTCCCTTACAATGAGAGCAAAGCCTTGGGCTTTTTCCAGTGTGTTTTATACATCAAGTGTCAGCTATGATAAAATCTGCTTTTTAAAGTCTGGAAAATACAGCACTACGACCTTGGTTCGTTATTTTTATTGTCTTGTTATTGTCATTGTTTTTTTTGAATGCTGATGACTGGGCTATTTCCACTGTGTTTATATGGTACATCCCATCACAGTGTTACATTGTTCATAGTGGGTTCTAAATGCACAGTCATATTAATAACAAACAATCCACAATCCACAATCCTGGTGTATAATTCCTTCTGTCTGGACATCATACTCCCATCCTGTGATGCAAGAAATACAGTTCAAGCTGACATATAAAGCATTGTGTGATCAGGGTACCAGGTACCCGGAAGAGCTCTTTATCCGCTGATTGTTAAACTGCCCAATAAGATCAGCAGGGGGCCATGTTTCATTACTTCTCATGGCAATGAGCTTTGATCTTTGTATCACCAACATTCCAAAATTCCCTCCCTACAGTAAGAGAAACCACATCAATGGACATATACACTGATGGCATTTGTGTTTTTTCAGGTTTCTGAAATTACAGATAACCCATTGCATCCTTTTAGAAGGCTCACATCTAACCTGCTTTCTTTTCTTTTCATAACAGTGTAATGCCGTCTGCTTTTCCATTACCTGGAGTCTTGGAATTGTAAAATGCTTCGAGTTACTTTACGTAACAATGCCATATGAAATATATTATTCTAATCATTATTCTGACTTTGGGGTCCATCACAAATAGAGAAGACTGGAAGTGAGCATCATCCAAAGGCCAAATAAGCTGTAACTCTAGGTATGTCAATACTTGCTTTCATCCTGCTGCCAACTTCTTTTCCAGTGCAAGCTGGAATTATAGTTTTTTTTCCATTCCTTTCTGTATTCTAGACATACCTGCAAATCATGAAACATGATAACATCTGAGCTCATTTTCTCTATTGCCAAAGACACTTAAGTGCATTTAATTATATGATTGTTTTAAAATGCATTATATTGCATGCCGGGAACCTCTACATTAGGATAAGCAGGAATTTTGCCTCCCCCCCACGGATCTCATATCTAGAGAAAAACTACAGTTCGGCCATTTAATTGTAATGTCCAATCTAAATATCTGTCACCACTAGGCACGTTTTCACTCGCTAGGTGCCTACTCTGTCTACACGAGAAGAAAAAGATTTGCATTTAAAAAAAAAAAAAAAGCAAAACAGAACGTCCATTTGGTTCCTCAGAGAAAGCCCATGCCTAGTGACTGCACTTTGGACGC